TTTTTTTTTTTAACATCTACTAGCAAGGAAACCTCTACAGACTTTAAGTCTCCTTTCCTTTAATACTCTCAGAAACTATTTTATGATTAAAGATTCATTCCAATTTGCTTGTATCAACAATATCTTAAAACATAAGTAAAGAGACAGAGGAGAGAGAGAGAGAGAGAGAGAGAGAATAAAACCAAAATGCTGATTAAATAAGTAGAAAATCATAACTAGGAAAATGATAAAATTAGGTAGCTATAGAACTTAAGAACATGCCATCTAGCCTAAACAATCATAGATTTCCATAGGAAATCTTTACTTTTTAAAGTTTCAATGTCCTTGTCAGCATTAATTGCAACAGCTTAATTACAGAACTAACCTAAGTTTTTAACAGCAGGACAAAGAAAATGCCACACACAGACATGTACACACACACTTGCACACCCCACATGAATCAATTTATTTTGGCCATAAAGAACAAGGAATTCATATTGTTTAGAAAAAAAAGATCAAAGCAACAGGAGATAATCATAGTAGGTGAATGAAGCCAGTCTCAGAAAGATGAATATTACGTTTGTCATCCTTAGATTGTATACAGATACATAGACTCACAGGATAAAACTATGAATGGAGACAAAGGGGACTGACGGAGAAAGCACAGAGAGAAGAGGGCTACGAAGGGGAATATGCTTGACATATAATGAAAAAACATACAAGAACTTTAATATTTAATTAATTAAAAATCAAAATATTGATTGCAACTCTGTTTTTTGAGTGAAGAGATCCAATTTATTCCTTAACCACAATCTTTATCTGAAATAAAGAGGGACAGGGGAGAAGTGTGGAGGAAGAGGATTGGGAATATGTCTCAGAAGTAAAGGGTTTCTCTAGCATTGGGAGCTCCTGTGCTCAATCATCGGGACTTCAGAAAGAAAAAGTATGGGGTGGTGTAGTCAGAAAACAAATTCTGAGATAAAATCTATTGCTTCCAATGAAAATTCCTTCATGATTAATATACAGAGGGTAATAAATTATGATATCTTTCGCGAACTAAGATGCTTTGATTAACTGAGAAAATTTAAATGAATTAAAATGCCACAGGTACCATTCTTCGTCACCATGTCTCAAACAGAAATCTCCTTTCAAACATTTTCCCAAACAATAGCACTTACACACAGACACCTGGGCAGCGAACTCTTAACCACAGACTACTAGAAAGGCTCAGAGGTGACATGGGCAGATCAAAATGTTGTAAGACATGATTCTCACAACGTCTGCCCATAAGTATTGAAACTGTGACCCTGGAGTCCCCATATGGCTACAGACCCCACATCCCCTGCGTATCAAAAGATGCTTCCCAATGCATAGTCTTTAAATAATGTGCTCAACGTACAGAACCTACTGCCCTGATATACTCTACACTGGCAAGCATGTTCACTATGTATGAAAGAATGCATAAATCTGCTGTCCTGGAAGAGATGTGGTAGAGAAGAAAAAGCACAAATCAGCATCATCCAAGAAATTTCAAACAAACAAACAAATCGTATTTGTGACATGCAGCAGAAAGTTGGAAATATTATCGAATCAAGAGCACTATGTGAGTATAAGTTATCAGAAATATATCTAAGAATTCTGGAATCATTTTAAGGAGCTCATTTTAATCCAACTTTTAGCAGGACAGAGAAGTAAATTTAAAACAGTCTCCAAAGGTTGTGTATTATTTTTAAATAGCAGAGAACATTTTACAATATTAGTCTCCATATTAGTAAGGTATAGCATTTTTAAGTTTGGTGTTTATGAGTGCAAACTGAGGTGTCTATCTTAAAAATTCAAGAGTTGACTTCTGCTTTAATCATTTTAATATCTCAGGTGACCTTTGGTTTTTATCTTGAGTGGTCCAAAAATTCACTTCAAGCTTTGATTTCTAGACAACGTTCAAGTATATTGTTCTTCTTAACACAACACGTTAATCTCTGCTGCAGTTTAAAGACACTCTCTACTTTTCTTTCATCACTGGGAACAGAAAATCTATCCACCAGCTCTCTCAGAAGATGGATGGGATACCCGCAGAAGCTCTCTCAGACCCCCTTTCTCTATAGCTAAATGTGTGTCATATATTTAGCTTTTTCTTATTGGATCAATTTATCTGAAATCCAATTCTGTCTGCTGCTTCCCTTCGCTGTACTATATCCACGTCCTCCAAGAAGAATACAAACCGACAGCCCGATCAACTACAGATGCAGAGAGCTTAGACGGGTGCTCTGGCTTCGCTGCTCTCAGCTGCTCACACTTAGAAAAACAATATTAACATATGCATCAAAGCATCACATCATACACTTTAAACAGACACAGTTTCACTTGCCAGTAATACCTCAGGCTAATTCTCTTCATTAGTTTCTGAAATATGAAAAGGAAGCATTTAACATTCTAAATTTTCTTACCTATAAAATGAACTTTAAGGAACTGTTATAACAGCTGGAGATAAGGCACTCTTAGGCGAAGTCATTAAGTAATTAAAAATTAACTATATTCCTGCTTTAGGACTGCAGTGACACAGCAAATGGGATGAAGTCCTAAGGCGTACTGTTGATGCTGCCTCTGCAAAATCCTCAGAAATCCATAGAGGTCCTGGGTCTGGAAGGACTACACACAATCCTCCCCGGGGAAAGTTGTTTGATAAAATTCTCAGTCAAAATCACTGACTCCTGCCTACACTAGGCTCTCGTTATTTAGAAACTGAGTTATTATTTCAAATGGGCTATAATTTTAGAAAGAATCTATTTGGCAGCATTGATAAACTAAACGTCCTTTATCTACGTGACTGGGTCCTTTAAAGGTGGTGTCCTGGGTTCTGTTTTAAGTCATTCTGTCATTATGGATGTGTTAACGGTTATTGAGAGCCTTTAGAAAATGTTTAACGGAGGAATGGATACAGAAATTGTGGTATTTTTACACAATGAAATACTACTCAGCAATCAAAAAGGAGGAAATCATGAAATTTGCAGGCAAGTGGTGGGATCTAGAAAAGATCATTCTGAGTGAAGTATCCCAGAAGGAGAAAGACAAACTTGGTATATACTCGCTTATATAGACCTACAAGATATGATAAACATAATGAAATCTACACACCTAAAGAAGATAATCAAGAAAGTGGACACAGGCGAAGGTGATTAATCCTCATTTAGAAAGACAAATGGGATGTGCATTGAACTTATGACAGGAGTCTACCACAAAAGGCATCTGAAAGACTCTACCTAGCAGTGTTTCAAAGCAGACACTAAGACTCATAACCAAACCCTCGGAGGAGTGCAGGGAATCATATGAAAGAAGGGAAGTTAGTATGATATGGAAAGGATAGGAGCTCTACAAGGACCAAACATATCTGGGCACAGGGTCTTTTCTGAGACTGACACTCAACCAAGGACCATCTATGGATATAACCTAGAACTTCTGCTCGGATGTGGCCCATGGTAGCTCAGTAACCAAGTAGTTTTCCAAAGTAAGGGGAACACGGACTATTTCTAACAGGATCTCAAGGGCAGGCTGTTTGACCCCCCCCCCCCCGGGAGGAGCAGTCTGTTAGGCCAGAGGAGGACTTTGCAGCCAGCCCTGAGGATACCTGATAAAACAGGGTCAGATGAAAGGGGAGGAGGTCCTCCCCTATCAGGGGACTTGGAAAGGGGCAGGGAGGAGACCAGGGAGGGAGTGTGGGGTTGGGGAGGGAATGAGGGAGCGGGATACAGCTGGGACACAGAGTTAACAAAATGTAACTAAAAAGAAAATAATAATAAAAAAATAATTAAAAAAAAGAAAATGTTTAAAAAAATCAAAACATGAGTGTGAAAAAACACAGGGTGCACTGGGTGAGATGAGTGCTAGGTCAGGTAAACATTTGGGGTCTTTAGCACTCTGCTTCACACTAGGAATCAAAGGGACATTTTCCACATCTGTCACTTTAGGTGGCTTTACACGAAGAGTTTGGAGTATTCCTTACATCATCATTGTCACTATCCAAACTTCCTTTCTTCTTTTTCTTTTTCTTCTCGTCCTCCTTCTTTTTCTTGTCCTTTTCTGGAATGACGTCATCAAGGAAGCTGAGGTCATGCTGGGAGAAGAGGTAGTCCATACCTTTTCTGACAGCTACAAGTGCCAGGATCTGGAAATTTAACAAACAAACAGGCATGTCAGGTGACGTCATGAGGATGCTCACGATGCTGTCCATAGTCACCACCAGAAATCCATGTAGGCCCAGAGTCAGACAGAACCACTCACTGAGTGGCCCTCAGTCTTCCCAGGGAAGCTGTTTGATGAACCTCTCCGTCAGAATCGATCTTGTTTTGTTCATAGAGATATATGGCCACATTCAATCAGAATGTAAATGACAGGTAATTATTTTCCAAAACCATTTCCTCCCATGTTAAGTTTTTAATAAAATAATTAAAAGCTTAAAAGTAAAAATAACCTCCTATATGATTCCTAACTATTGAACATTTAAAAATTATACGGGTTTCTAAAAATTAGTCACTATTTGAACTTAACTGCTTACCATGTTCTTGATACTCACTGAATACTCAGGTAATATTAGTTCATTTATTCCTTAAAAAAAAACCCCAGAAATACATTATTTCCATCTTACGGGTTGAGCAAACTGAAGCTTATAAAAGCTTATAAATCCAAGGCCGCGATACCAGTCAACAGAGAATACATAGTATGCTATTTGATTTTTTAAATTCTATTTTATTTTTATTTATATGTCTGCCCGTGTACGGACAGAAGAGGGTGTCAGAATTACAGGCAGTAGTAAATGCAGAGAACTCTCTTAATTAATGAGATATCAGTTTGGTCAAATCCAACCACAAGTGATTCCTATTGTATATTTACTCTCTTGGGCTCCAGTTTTCTGCTTCTCAGGCCAACAGTTTTTACCTCTGTGGTTTGATTGTATGAACTATTTTGTTAATTTCTTAGTCAGGATACAAATACCAAACTCCATTACGTGCCTTGCTATATAATGTGTGACTTCCCCTCTTGCCTTTCCACCATGGAGGCTCCTTAACACCAGCTGTTCAACAATAAAAGTCATACACAGCCAAGTCCCAAAACTAGTGGATTGGCCTCCCACTTGACAGTGGCCTCTATTTACACTCCACTCCACACTTGAGGCATCCGTCTCTTAAAGAAATCAATAACGTCTGCCCTACTAGCATTACAATTTCTGAGCTGAAGTCCCTGGAAAATTAACATTTTTTAAAAAATAAAGTGTTTTCTTATATTTAGTATAAGTGATATGTAATTCACTGGATATATTTGAAATTTACTATGGGTGGCTTCATTTTCCTGCTTTTAACAAATTAATGGATAGTTAGAAAACCCTAATAGGTGAACAGGAGTCACTTCTCATTTTTGTTTTGTTTTACAATGCATTAATACAGCTTAATGGAGACAAAGTATGTAAGAAACCATCAATGAAAAAAATATTGCTTAAAAATGCTAGTATTAGCTGGGTATGGTGGCACATGCCTATAATCCCAGCACACAGGGACACAGAGGCAGGTGGATCTGAGTTCGAGGCCAGTCTGGTCTACAAAGTGAGTGCAAAACAAAAGCAAACAAATAAAAAGGGTAGTAATATTTTAAACAGTTTTTTTCCTACATCCCTCAAGGGGGGGTTGTAAAGAAATACAATTATGAACAGCAAACACACACAGAATAAAATAAAAATCTTTGTTATGAGTAAGTTGACTTTAAAAACAAAATACAGTAAGTGTATAGTATAAAGATATTTTTTTTTTTTAGAATTGTAGGGATGATAGACCAGGATGGAGATGGCTTTAAGGTCTCTCTTATGAGCTGTTGTGTAACAGTTTCTTCCAAGATTGAAACATTTCATGCTGCAGAAAAAAATCCCTTCACAGGAAAGTAAATGATTCAAAATAGCTTCAGGAAGTCCCTGAAACTGACCAGATTCATGAGGCTGCTCTCAGATAAAGTAAGCAATAAAAAATTGAGAGTCCCTTACAGACCAAAGAGCTAAGCTAAAGGAAGACTCTAAGACCATAGTACCTGCCTGGAAGACCCTCAGACCAACCCAGGTTTCCGGAAGGGGCACTGCCCAACCCATTGAATGGCCTACAGGCTGCACAATGTGCTCCAAATTCCCAGCTTTACATGTGCTGGGGTGGGCCTTTTCTCACAAGTTTACAAAAGCTTCTATTATTTAAGCGGAAGTGTGCTTTATTCTTATTTAGGTTGGCTCTATTACTTAGAACTTTAAAAATCACGCAGTCTGGTGTCTATTGCCTGCCATTGTGTTATGCGCTTTTCATTCATTATCAATGCTCAGAACAATAACAATGCTACCTCCCACTGATGAGCTCATGGTGGCTCGAGGATGTTTGCTGGCCAGTAGGAACCTGAACCAGTATCTGAATGCAGGTAGGCAAGATTCTAAGGAGCTGTTGCCATGAGAATCTTGTTCCAACTGGTCAACATGATCTGTGTTTTTTCCATGTCATAATACCTATATGATATGCACAAAGCCATAGAGTATATCAATTAGGAAAGCCTACCATGACTGGAAAAATGATAGCAGCCACTGTTGACTTGAGGATCCAGAGCAGGGCCAGGCACAGCACCTGCAGGAAGGTGAACAGGTGGACTCGGCGGAGGGGGACGTGGCGCAGGTAGATGAAGTCAGGCTGATGCTTCAGGGGCATCAGAAGCAGCTTGATACGGTCCATGAACTGGGAGGAATGGGGAAGAAAATCCAATGTATTCTTTGAAGAGCCAACTGAGTCATTTCCACTCTGCTTAACCAGCCATGAGTGATTTTTTATTGTATATGTCAGGCAAGCAGTGTCCTCTTCAAAGGACAAAGCACAGGTTAGGAAGTAGAGGATTTATATTAGCACAGTCAGTTCATATTACCAGTCTTCTAATTTTTTTTCAGAGATACTTAGCAGGTATATAAGATAAAGTGGGCAGCCAAGGCTAAACTTAGAAGGCAAACCGAAATTCTAAGTGTTCATCTTCTATCTTCTATTTCTATTCTGTCTCTCAACACAGAGGATTTTGTACCTATTTTGGGATGATGTGCTGAGGGAAGACATGCAATTTATGCATCTACTCCTGCCTCAGGTGAGTTATGTGAAAGGACCACACATCGTAGGCACGTCAGAGATGTTCTAAGGAGATATAGGAAGTACCCACCTTAAAAAATGGGAATGTGCAGATCATGCTGATAAATCCTACTTTCTTTAGGTTACATTTGATGGACACACCCATATCCACCAGTGTGTTACCATATCATTCCAGAGAAAAGCTCCATGAACATGATGGTGAGTTTCAAGACGCTGACATTAAGACACAGGAGTCCGAGAGAAGTTAACACAGTCATGTATTAGCCAGGAATTGAAAGGATGACTGTGTGTGTTTTTGTCAGGTGTGCCTCAAAGATAAAGTGCTGAGTTGACAGCGATGATGATAACTCATCCTGGGGCCTTCAGAGGAAGACACTATATGGGCAGCTGCTCTACTGACTAATTGTAAGAACTCATAAATAACAAGAAGAAGGAGAAGAAGTGATACTGTCTTTGGAGCCCACTGTCTATTTGAAGGTTTCTTTTTCCTCCCATTAGAAAAGATAGCCCATGGCAGCCCAGTGTCCAAGTGGGTTCCCTAGTAAGGGGAACAGGGGCTGTCTCTGACATGAACTCAGTGGCTGGTTCTTTGATCACCTCCATCTGAGGGGGGATCAGCCTTACCAGGCCACAGAGGAAGACAATGCAGCCATTCCTGATGAGCCAAGATAGGCTAGGGTCAGATGGAGGGGAGGAGGATCTCCTTTATCAGTGGACTTGGGGAGGGAAGGATAAAAGAGAGGGAGAATGGGATTGGGAGGGGTTGACGGAGGGGGATAGAGTTGGGATACAAAGTGAATAAATTGTAATAAATAAAAAAATAAATAAATTTTAAAAAAGAAAGATTCCTTATCTACAAAGATTAGATTTCATTTCTTTTTTTTCTAAACCAATTTCTTCAAAAGGATCTAAAAGAATCAAGAGAAAAATAAGGAAAAATAAAAAGGCATTTGGGGCAATAATAATACTTCAGGAGTTATACAGTTCACAAGCTGTCCATACAATGCTCCCCCGACCACCAATCATTATGCGATGGCTCTTTCCTTCTCTTTGTGGACAGTTCTAGCTGTTAATAAAGCCCTTGGAACAACGCCCAAACAAACTACTGATTTAGAGTGGATCCTTAAGGGCAAACAAAAAATAGTAAGTATAAATTCTAGGCATCTAATGCTCATGTATTCCCATTTGGGAGAAGAGAAGTATAATGGCAGACAAAAATAAACTGTGTTACAAAGTGGTACTTCCTAAACACGTGGCTGGCACAAACACACTTGCGTTGACAGTCACCTAGTGCAGCCCATGAAGAACCACTTTGTGTTTCATAACAGACATCCCAGGACGGAAGAACTCTTCCACTGGATCAAGACCAGGAATAGTAAAGTAGCTTTGCTTTGCTTTTGGGGGGTCTGGCCATTTGCCCAGATCTATCTGACTTTAAAACCAAGTTAATACAAATGCAATAAATGAAAGCACAGGCTATTTTGAAGGAGTTCAAATGAATTCTTATGATGTCCACAGAACACGCAGTCTTTTCCCATTAAAACATTACTGAGTGCTAAATAAGGCTACAATTAACAGGGTGCCAGAGCATGGCGGAACTTCCAGTTTCCTGGTGCCAATTAAATTAAACCTCCATTGAGAAACAAAGTCCCTCACAAAGTTTTCCCTAGTCAGTTTTTTTTTTTTTTAAGTGGGCCAGGGGGCAGGGTGATCATTTTAACTGAAGTTATGAAAAGTTAAAAATTTTGATGAAAGCAGTACCTAATACACATAAATTTTAATTGCTTGTTGCTGCAAAACTTATGAGCACTGAGCTCAGGATTGTGTAGTGCAGAATCGCCTGCTGTCTGTAAGGGTTAAGGCAACTGCAAACCACCACCCAGGGAACACAGGGATATCCATCTTGTGGGGGGGAGGTAAAGAGAAGAGGGAGATGAGAAAAGAATAAGAGAAAAAAAAGGAAGAGGAGGGGAAGAAGGAAAGGGGGAGAGGAGGAAGAGGGGAGGCAGCAGTTGTGGTGGTTGTAATGGGGACAGTGGCACAGAGCTCATTTCCTCACCAGATGATCCTTAGCACCCCTTTTCAGTAATGGGCATTCAGGATAACATTTGTTGACACCGGCTAGCTTTGCTCATTACATCAGAAATGAGAAGCAGGTAAAAGGCAGCAGAAGTAGGAAATAAATGTATTTTAAAGCATCCGTAGTTAATGATTACTGCCTTCATCAGAGAGCTACTGCTGGGCTAGTTCTGCCCTGAGAGAGGCATGGCTTGCTCTCTCTTGCTGTGGAGGCTTACCTGCACCCCATTGAGTGAGGCCACACCCATATACAGGAACACTCCATACAGAACAGGCATAGGGATAAACTGGGAAGGAAAACAGTGGAAACAGGTTACAAACAACAGTGAAAATATTTAGGGAGAGGAATAACTTAAATGATGGCTAGATCTGAAACTGAAGCTCAGCATACAACAGCAACCTCAAATTAGTGCATTTAACTCATCAATTGATAAAATTCTAAGCCTTGTACAAATGAAGACAAAGGGAATGTTCAAATAAATTTCACTTTATTTAGATAATGGGCACACATGACCTCAACAATACCTTTTTAATGGAGAAACTGTTTTGGCTTTCCTTTTCTCTTAAAAGCAGTAGACTAGGCAACCCAGATGTTTGCGTGGGCTATGAAGTACAGGCAGAGGTAGCAAACTGCCTCACTCTGGACCCAGGATCCCTTTGTAATAGTCTCTTAGTTTTCTCCTCACGAATTTTTGCCAAATGATACCAGTTTGGTCTGTAAATGCGTCTTTCAGTAAAAAAACACCAAATGACAGTCCCTTTTCTTTTCTTCTCAGGACTATTAAGAATATCAACTAATTAAAAAATGGTTTGCAAGGAGTATGAAGCACCTGGAAGCAATTAATTACACATATGGGTTAATGCAAATCTTTTGAAACAATTAATGTTTATGTGTTATTTAGTAAAACATCATTTACACCAACACGAAGTGTTTTAACAATGAGAAGTTCTAATTCCGTGCAAACATTTTACTTTCCCCTAAAAATGTAAATGTGAGCGACCACATTTGAGAATCAGAACTCTACTTCTGAGAAGTCTTTTGTCTAGATGACAGAAAGTATCAAAGTATCAACTTTGGGTTTGAACAAGCAACTGAAGGGCTTTTCAAAACTAAAATACTAAATTGGAAAACCAGTTACATGCAGGAGGCCATTTTAACCAAAAAGCGAAGTATTTCTTAAAACGTAGAATGTTAAAACTACTTCATGTATTAAATGAAGCATGGTTTCTAGAACCATCTTACTGCTATTGCCAGATGCTTCCCTGCCTCAGACCTTTGGGCCGCTTTAGAGAACCAGCGAATCCTGAAATGGATTGCCACTGCCTCCAGTTTGTACTGGTTAGTCACAAAAATGCACAAATCTCAATAGAGAAAATACACATCCTAGAAACTGACAAATGTTTTCTCTAATGGGCATTAGCGATTTTTATCATAAACTAATATTAACCATGAGCTCAGGAAAGGATAGGAAAGAAAAGGAACTGAAGGCTGAAGTGGGTGGGAGGGCCAGGCTGGCAGGAAGCCAGCAAGCTGTATGCTGTATGCAGTACCCAACAGTGGCCACAGAGAGGTAGACACATCACACTCTAGCCACCTGGGCCCAAACACAAGCCTCCATTCCTCTTAGGCTACTGACAACTCCTGATGTACAGTTTCTGGAAATAAATAATAAGACTAGCAAAGGGTCAAATCCACATCTCTGATTCATTTCCAAACATCTATTTTCACTCACTATGTCATGATTTCTTTTCCATCTATTCTTACATTTCTAATGCTCGAGAAGGGGGAGAAGGGGAAGAAGGGAGTGTGGGAGAAATTGTTGATTCATGGGAAGCTACTTGGGTTTCTTCAGTGGTTATTTTTTGATCTGGGGAAAATGTTTCTCCAGACTGGAAGTGTCAGAAAGGGTTTCTCCTGACCTGAGCTTAACTAACAGGGTTTTTTTTGTTTGTTTTGTTTTGCATTGCTTTTCTAATGTGTTTCCACTACCATAGCAGAGAAACATTGTGCCTGGGACCATAGATCCATTCTCTGAACTTATGTTGACAAATTTCACCAGACCCACAACACAGAATGGAATGAATGGATGGACACAAGGAAATAACTAGGGATATGAAAATATGTAGACACACATATAAGTTGGGAGAAAACAGTACATATAAGAAAAACTGTGGAGTTGACCTTTGATCAGCTTCAATATGATACAAATGCTTATGATTTTCTCATTTTCTTCACAACAGTGTGTATCAGTACAAATTCCAGAGTGGAACTCCTAATAAAACCTGACACAGTTGTTGGGGTTAGAGGGTATATTTTATAGAATTTAGTTCACGAATTGTATCAGAAGGTCAATGTTTAAAAGTTGATCACACTAGAATAACTCATCCAAACAGAAAGTTCTCAAAGGAAGAGAAAGAATGCTTTTAAGACAGATAGCCACCCAGAGTATGGTAGCTCATGCTTGCTCTCTTAGCATTTAGGAGGCTGAGGCAGGAGGACTGCTATGAGTATACGAGTTCAAGGCCAGCATAGGCTAGCGTGTGTGCCAATATCAATAAATAATGAATTCTTCCAAAAGTTTCTAAAACTGAGATCCCATTTTAAATTAAAGTGAGGTAATACGGTGATAGTAGGTGATCATTTCTACAAAGCAAGGCGGTAGAAATCAAAACTACCCATTTCAAAGGCACATCAAGATAGCCAAATGTTAAACTATGTAGACGATTATTTCATCATTAATACCCAGGAAGCAAAAAAGGATAATTGTAAAAAATGTTATATTCAATAAACACTAAAAATTAAAATTAAATGATTGATTTCATAATCATATAGAACAATGAAAGTGAAATAAAAAATCAAAATAAGATTTAACATCTTAATAAAATATTACCAAATTTTCAAATTCTGGTGAATGTGTCTCTATATTTTTCACTTGTATCTTCTGGTAATTCACCAATAGTAGTAGAACATTCCCAGAAGGAAGGACGTGAAAAGGATACTTGTAAAAAGGGAAAACTGTTGTTGTCTAACACTGCATAAGAATTCAATAAGGACCAAGATCTCTTGATGGTTTTATGGTCAAAGTATGTGTGCATGAGTGTGTTCTGTGCACATGCATGCTTGTGTATGTGTGTAGAGGCATGTATGTGTGTGGGTGTGCCTAAAAGTAAAAGTAAGGTCCTGATTAAGACATGGGTGACAGAAGCTGAACAAACATGAGTTTGGATTCTAGCTACCAGCTGTAGAATACTGAGACACTTGTTCATTTCTCTTATTCATTCTTATCTAGAAAGCATCTATGGTAAAGAATACATAACAGAAAATATCTTACCAATTAATTAATAAGGCAACTACTAGACGATAAATGTAAGTGCTGATGTCATCCTTATCCTGAAGCTCTGAAGTTCCTAACCACTGCTCTTCCTGTTTCTGCACTGATGGGATTCGGGGTGGCTGGGGTATAGGGAAGGTTAGCTAGAAGGTCCGACCCGAAGCTCTGCTTTATTTAATTCCTAATATATTGCTCTTTTCGCTAACCTGTGTTCGGGCGATATGCTACTAGCATAATGGCCTAACTCTCTTAAGCCTTAAATGTCTACACTGATAAAGAAGCCACCGGTACTCAGCCTGGAATGAGGTCTGAAGAGGAGTTTATGAAAGTTACATAAGCATGTTTCCCCACATAAGAAGGATTCCAAATGAGATCAAAGAATCTGGGAAAGATAATATTATGGGAAAGAAAGTAGAGATTCTTTGAAGGCTGAGGCCCATGTTTCATTTTGAAGGGCTCACATTATACAAGCTGATGGAAGCAGTTTAATGCCAGAACTTCCAGAGTTCAAATGTTGCCTCTATAACCTAAGCTTTTTGAAGTCTAGTGACTTTTTTCGTATCTCTGAGGTGGAGATAATTATCCATATAGTTCTTCTAGGTACCGATGGAAGATTAAATTTTTTAAAATCTGCGATACCTCCTTAACCTGAGGCCAAACTCAACAGACAGTAGCTTCGATCATCACCATCACCATCTCCACCATGGTTTTCCTGCTTCCATGGGTCCAGCTACATGGGGAGATCAACAGCTGTCGGCCAAGTACAAATTAAAGGCTCTCTTCTACACTTCAGCACACTAAACAAGTCTTAAAGATAACTTCTGGCCACACCTCATGTTAAAGATAAACTAACCCAAGCGAAGGCAACAGAAACAGCAGTGAACTTTACTTGATCTCTATTTCTTGAGTCTTGCCAGGAAAACAGGGAAAGTCAGCTCAGGGAACGAATGGCCTTTCATCTCTTCGCCGCTCTGTGATCACCACTTGGAGAACACCAGCAGCAACCGGCAGGCAGTGTTTTCACATGGGATACTCGGGGACGCCAAGTCACCAGCCTGGGAAGCCGGTTATTCCCACTTCCCAGCAGTTCTGTGCTAAGCAATGATGCGATTCGGTGCTTTGAGGTATCAGTGACGGTAGCTAGCCAGGGTCAAGGGGTATCCTCATGAAGTTAAAGCTGGTACACTATAATTCCTGATATTCCTCCACATGAAAGATGGATTTCGGCACAGAGATCAAAACAGAGGCCATAAACTTCATGTTCAAAGAGATGTTGCATAAATAGGCAACCACCTATGCTGTTTCACAGATGCAAGAAAATTGCTCAAATCATCTGAAACCACTAAACTTGTAAGGAGAACAAGGAATTGGGCATGGAAGGTATTGAAGCATTTCTTTTCTTTTTTTTTTTTTTTTAAGTCACTTATAGGTCTTGTTCCTATATATTTGATCTAACTTTCAAAGGCAGAATCTTAAGTAAAGCCATTCTCTGAAGTTGTCACCTGTTGCTTTTAAAAAAAAAAAGACACGGTCACCTGGAGGTCAACTGGTGACACCACTTTCTGTGTGAATTCTAAGGTTAATTATTAACTGTACCTTTTCCTTAGCTGTGGCTTACCATTTCGGTTAAAATGTACCCTCAGTATCTGCTTCTTCCTGTACTGATTTTGTAAACCCTAACGAGGCATCTCCCATATGAGCACATAATTTGCCAAATGCCAGTTGTGAGAAAGGCATGTGATCCAAAATGGATGGCCTTACTGAGAGACTCGATTCTTGAAGTAAGGAACTATTAATTTACTCAAGTGAGGAATAAAGGCTCCTGAACAAAGGCCTCTTCACTCCTGATGCTTTTACATAAGGTTTTCCACAGTCTATTGCGAGCTAGACTGGCAAAACAATTTCATTCCGTATGTTAGGGAAAATCATGGCTTTAAAAAATGTGTGCTGAGTTACTTTTTTACAATGACTCTTCAGATTAATCAAAGTTGCCAGATAGAAGCAGCCAGGACAATGGATCCTAGCAGCCCAGGAAATCAAGCCAAGGCGTACTCTGGTACAGGATTGCCGCAGGGGAGTACAAGTTTTGCTCAGGGTTCCCTGTCTCTTTTTAATGAGTTTTGACCACGACCTGTACACACTATGGTACGTCACCTACTTATGAGATAACCTGTTTGGGTTCACTGTAAAATCCAAGAGCTTTTAGCTTCAACTTCTCTGTAGGGTGAGGAATAGTTAGGAAAACCTTTTACCAGGTCTGAATTTTGTTAATCTTTCTAAAGGTAAAAATTTACACAGTATTTGTTTACTGTGTCCCTTCTAAACCATATATACTTGGCAGGTTCCCCATGATTAAAATCAAATTTTCTATAACACAAACATAGGGGTTTTCAATACAGCTGCCTTTTCTGAAGCACAAGATTTTATACCGTTTTAAGGAAAACAAATCATATATAAGACAAAATGGAGGGCTGGGTGATGGGGAGCAAATTTGAAGACTGAAAAGATTTCTGCCTGCCATCGGTCCTTATAAACTTCTCTCTAGAAGGTTCCATAAAAGCAAGGCTGCAGTGTAGCAATTCGCTATGTGAGTCCATCTGCAAGGCACTGGTGCTCCCTACCATACAGGGCCTTACTCTGCCCACAGTGACCTCTCCAGATGATCTCTCACTGCCTTGGTGGTAAAGGTGTCTCTAAACATTTCCACCAGTGTCATATGCTGGGACCTGCCCAGGGAACAGAAACGCCTGAAGCCCTTGGCAGAAGGTACAACACTTCAAGTCCACTAAGACTTTAAAGCCACCTCCTCGCACTGATAGAACTGACCATGGGTTCCCCTCTGTCCCAATGGGAAACAGGCCAGAAACAATTTCTCTGACATCACTTTAAACCCAAGTTCCTCTGTGGGTCACCTGAGATACACAGTCCTTCATGTCTTTGTTAACCTCAAAATGGAAGCCTCATGGAGTTAACCTCAAAACAGAAGCCATGGAGTTAACCTCAAAACGGAAGCCATGGAGACCAAGGATAAACCATGGATCATTGAGTATTTTAACTACTTACCAGTTATTTCCTACCAAATGTATGGCAGTAATCTAGCTACTTAAAAGGCAAAGCCAATCTCCAGATTCAGATGTTATAGCTCCCTTTTCTATATCTCATTGGTTGATGGAAACGTGTTAATCTGAGAGAAATTGAGAGCTTTTTCTGGGCATTGTTATAACTGAGCATAAATGAATGTTTTAGAATCATGTACAATCACTCCATTACTTGTATAACCAAATGAGCAACCAAAAGACTTAAAAATTGTATTGTTTGTATTTATTTATTGATTTAGATTTTTCCAGACAGGGGTTCTCTGTGTAGCCCTGGCTGTCCTGGAACTCATTCTATAGAACAGGCTGGCCTCAAATTCACAAAGATCTGCCTGCCTCTCCCTCCAAAGTGCTGGGATTAAAGGTGTTTACCACCACTGCCCAGCAAAATTAAATTGTATAAAAATAAAAACCTTTCTGTTACGGTAAGCTATTGTTAACAGTGGTTGCTCACGGTTTTTGGATCTGGGTTTTGTGCTTTATACAGTAGTACAAAGTATAAGATGCAAATCACCAATAATTGGTTAGGGGTGTTTTTATAATAGGAGAGAGAGAGAGAGAGAAAGAGAGAGAGAGAGAGAGAGAGAGAGAGAGAGAGAGAAGCTAGCTTGTATCACAAAAATAGGAAGCTTCATAAGCAGAAACGTGAACTTTCTTCTTTGGTTCATTTTTCTAAAGGAGCCATTGAATGTATGTTGCTCTGTCTACACAGATGCCCATCCATCGATCTATCCATATGTTGATATGTGACCTTTTAAATATTCTACCATGTAAGGATGCTTCAGAAGTTCATTGCTAAAGTTTTCCAATTATAAATCAGCCATTTTGGTCTCATTTCCCTTTCAGAATTAATAGGCTTTCTGATTCAAGAAGAAGAAAAAAAAAACAGAAATATGTTTATAATTAAAAAGAGGGGAAAGAAATGCACACTGCTCATGTGAATCACTAGAGGTGTGTGGGGTGTGGCAAGAGGCAGGACTTGGGGATAAGCACATGGATAGGCTGGATAGAAAACAAAGAGTAAGAAGCATGCATGGGGCAGGAAGAAGGCAAGTCATATGGACACGTATGGCACCGCCCTTCTAGAGGTCAGAAGAGGGTTCAGTATTGGTAATGTCAGAGGGCACAAACAAGTAACCACAAAAATAACCGTGAGGGAAGGAATGCAGGAGTGGGAGGGAAGATCAAGGCAAATATTTTAGAAGTTTCTTTTCTAATCGGCCCTTGCTTCCATGTACTATGAAATAATACAAGTATTTCACACTCCTGTGTCCTGTTCTAAAGAAGAGGGAGGCATGAATGTTTCATATATTTACCTTCAAGATGGGAGCCATGAAGACCGAAAGGCCAGTCAGAATAAACACAAGCGTTCCAGTGACTCTTTGTTCCCTGAAACAAAATCCAAAGTTCATCAATCTAACGCTTGTTTTCACAGAAGCATTCAAGAAGGGCCAAATCAGTGTTGGGCTAACACATCGAAAGTGTTGACATATAATGCACTTCGAATATCATAAATTCAATGTAAGTGTTAACTAAAAAAATAAAAGTCTTAAAACTATCATGATCTGTGATTTGAACTCATGAAGACAAAAAGTGATTCTTCTAAAGCTTTTGGTCCTTTCAGAACCGAGAAAGAAAAATCACTTGCTCTTGGTCCATCAATTGCTAGCATCTTTGAAGCCCTTATTTTTCAAACAACTTGTCCTATTGTGTAATTATACCTTTTTCACAGGAGACAGATATTACATTGTCCCATATTCTAATTAGCAAATAGTTCAGGGAAATGTCATGAGTTCAATAAATCTCACCAGTCTAATTTCCAAATCTGCAACAACAGAAGTACTTTTTAACAAATATGACCCTGTCCAACACCCTGCTCCTCCAAGAAAGAATCACCCAGTGTTGAGATGTGGGAAATGATGATTCTCTTGTGGGAGCTGTGCACCCTAGCTCTTGTGAGTGAAGCTTTCTATAACACAAAAACAAAAACAAAAAAACAAAAAAAGAAAGACTCAGTAGCTTGCAAAGGTCTTCTACCATTGACCTTCTCAAATACTCTAATTTAATATTTGAAGGTTCTCAGATTTTTTTTAAGGGGACAGAAATGGGTTAGAAAAGAAAGATTCCTACTCCTTTGCAGGATGCTGGAAATCATGGAGGACTAAAAGTTTTCAAAGTTTTCCACAGGACTGAGGTAAGGCATGATCTACAGCACTCAGCTGCAAATTAAAAAAAATAGGTCACTTGCTCACATTTTTACGCTGCAGCATTTAATATTGCACTAATCAAGAAAACTGACATACTCTACATCGTGAATTAAAAGTTATTAGCTATGATTTTTATTAAAGTCCTTCCTGGAGAAGAGAATTTAGGAATAAATTGACTATCACCATCGATCTTTTCCCCAGATTGTGTCCAACTCCTTATGACTAGCACAAAGATGTACGCATGTTCTTTGGGTGTTTTTGTTGTTGTTGTTTCTGTTAGGGCCATTATCCTGCGACAACACACCTCACTCCCAGAAACTTTGGTTGTTCTCCAGGTGCAGAAGTCTCGGTCTCCATCTTCAGACTGTCAATGTGAGCAATGGAGATGACAGTAGCTGCCACATACCAGGGAAGAGCCATGAAGGAGCACACTACCATGAGGATGGCGACCCAAAACAGATCCAGGTGGTACCCAGCTCCCTTCTGCAGAAAGAAGTCACAGCGCATGTACAGAAAGCACTCATACTCGTCATCTGTTACGGCGAGGCACGGGAATTACAATTAACGACAGAAACTTGTCCTGCTTGATAAAAATATCTCTCATGAGCAAGCGCGTTGAGGAGGGCCTTTCCCTTCCTCAAAATACTCTCCCGGTGTTAAACAGAAAGCTCTCTCCTCCAGCACCTACGCAGATCCTAATGCTATCACAGTCCCAAATAATTAATTGAGAACCATGTCCAGTTCCCTTAGTATGTACTCACTATACATTCACCTCTCTGCATCCAATTTTGTAACCCAAACAGTGAAGGTAGGGGCCTTGTCTGGAGAGTTACTGCAGCCAATGAGGTCACCGCAACAACGGGCCTTGTAACAACTCGCAAGGGTGTGGCTGTTACATAGCAAGTGCTCACTAAGGGAGGCAGGTGGTGGGAGCGGCAGTGGTTGCTAGGGGAGCATGACCCACACTTGCAGAGCAGCACACCATCTCTTCTGTGGGACAGTACTTGACAGAGTGCTACTCACCATGTTGGCGCTAACGTATGTAACGCCGCCCTTTGGTCACAATAACATTTGCTGACTGGATGAGTAGACAATGCAACACAAGTTTGAGCTCCTTTACTCACTAAATAAACAACGTCCGTCATGTCCCCAGTGTGTTCCTGTGGTCATATCTCTCTGCTCTGTTTAGGAAGAAATCAAGGGCTCAGACCCTGCGGAGCCTGGGAAACCAGAGCTCTCCATTCTCACAGCATGAGGGAGCAGTACCAGGAGTCAGACTGTGGCTGATCCAGGAGAATAGACAGGCTGGCTCTGGAGAGCAAGGTGTGCTTTAACCAGCGACCCAGCGAGTGCTAGCATTCACAGCCTGCTACAGTTTGCCGGAACTCTGCTCTCCTCTGACAGAATCACCAAGGTTTTACCCGAGGCTTGCACACCAGCTCCATGCTTCCGGAGAATGCACAGCAGGCAAGGGAGCCGACATGGTAGCAAAGGCATGTTCTCAGAAAGCAAGGTGTGACTGTCAATAGACGTCTGCTCATGAGACAAATGTTCATATACATGCATAGAATCCATTCACTTCAGGAATGCATAATTATGTGACTTGAAAGTGGAATAAGGCAGGAGAGAGGAAGGTAAACATGGGTTGGGCCAACATAAATGTATTCTATAACAATCAAAGAAGTAAGTATCATGATGCATTTGGGGTCTCAAATCAGGCATTTGATTTTTTTTTTTAACAAATAATTGACTGGCAACTTAGTACCAGGCAGCATTCTAGCTATGGCTCTGTGAACAAACAAAAAGAACCCTGCTTTCATGGAGTTTCCCCCTTGCTATGTGAGAGAGAACTAAAGAACATACATTTTGAGAGCATATAGCATCTTACTTGGTAGTAAGTCCCAAGAGGAACCAGAATAACTTGAGTTTGCATTGGCAATAAGATGGGCCACCAGGGGAGGACTTTTCATTAGCAGAGCGATGTGACTGCTCTGCTCTAAGCACTGTGGCTCCTGTGTTGTGGACAAATTGAACAGGGACAAGGACGGCAGGACCAGTTAGGAGGCAGACACTACAAGAGATTATGGTTATGAGGACAGAGGTGGTTAGATTCTGACCGTGCACTGAGAATTACCCTCTCCTACCAGCGTGTATGTCTACAGTGCTGCGGCAGGGCCATTGGGAATCTGGCTGTTGGTAGGGAGATAACCTAGAATCCCTGTACAGATGTAGCCCATGGCAGTTCAGTGTCCAACTAGGTTCTATAGTAATGGGAAGAGGGACTGCCTCTGACATAATCTGATTGGCCTGCTGTTTAATTACCTCCCCCTGAGGGGGAAGCAGCATTACCAGGCCACAGAAGAGGACAAGGCAGCCACTCCTGATGAGACCTAATTGACTAGGATCAGTAGGAAAGAAAAGAAGATCTCCCCTGTCAGTGGACTTGGGGAGGGGCATGCATGGAGAAGGGGGAGGAAGGGAGGGATTGGGAAGGGAGGAGGGAGGAAGCTACAGGGTGGATACAAAGTGAATAAAGTGTAATTAATAAAAAATTAAAAATAAATAAAAAAATGGAAAAAATGTTACAGTCCATCTTCTCTCTCCCATTCTCAACTCAAAATCCTGCTTTTCCTTCAAAAGGACCAACTCCTTCAGCCCTCTATGGTGCCACCACCACAAGAGTCCCTCTTGCCCCTGACAACCCACCCTCTTCACAGACTAATCTTGGAACATCTTAATCAATATGTGGCACTTCCCTGATCAAAACCTTTCAGTGGCTTCCGGTTTTCACCCATAATACCATGATAGTAAAAAACTAAACAGTGTAAAACCACCTGTAAAGATATCCATGAACATTTATTCCTATAACTATTCGTTGGCCACTCCCCACCCTGGCCACCTTCTAGCAGCATCTGGAGATATTTCTGGGTATTACAACTTGGGAGAAGGGGTACAACTGGCAATCCTGGACAGAGACCAGACATACATGGCTGCCAGCACACAAGGCAACCACTGCCAACAGGACTCTTCAAACTTGCACAAATGCTGAAACTAACAAACCTTGTGTTGTGTGACTTGGCCTACCACTCACTTTGGCCTGAGCTTGAGTCACTTGCTCCCTGGCCTGCTCTCTGTTTCTTAAACAACAGGCTTCTCCTCACTCTGGGGCCACTGTGTGGCAAGCTATTATGGAATAAACATTTGTTGAAGACTTATTTTGTACTAGGCCCTGTGTTCAACTGAACGGTGAGTAAGACAAGCACCCATGCAGGTTATCAGCTCAAGTCAGGCAGGTGAATGAGTGACCTAACATACATACAGTATACAAGTCACAGAGTCAGCTCAAACCTTGATGTTTCCTTCAGGAAAGAGACTAGATATTAAAACAGTTTTACCTTCAGCATTTACCACAAACATTCGGTATATAGGAAGCAATCCAAAAATGCCCTTGAGTTCATGACTATAATAAACCCAAAGCATATCCAATCTTCTGAAACAGCCAAGTGTTTTAAGCACAAACACAGAAACTATCTCTTTCAAACTGCATATCCCTTGCTAGTAAAGAACAAAAGTAATTTAGGACTATGTGCACAAAAATCAAAATATAGGAGAGAGAAAAAGGCTAGAAGCCTAATGTGTATACATGGTACAAAGATACAAGAAAGGAAGAGTTGGGAACAATACACAAATGGAGTAAACGTTTATCATGTCATGAGCCTACAGGATTTGAGTCACTAACAACATTCCACCAAAAGGTCACAATTGGCCTCTAAATTAAATGGCCTCTAAATAGACAAAATCACACAAGTTTGGAAAAGATACTAAAAACACCAAGGATGGAGCGTTTGAGTACATCTTGTCTAAAAATGGCTTTATTCCATGTAGGCAGCCACAGATGGAGGAGTGGGGATGGGTTTGCACATTCTTCAGTTAGTCTCTCTTCTCTCGCAGTGTCTTAAACCTAAGAACCGTGTGACCAAGATGAAGCCTTTCACTTACATGTGTTTATCCAGGCTAACATGGAATTGGGGTGGGCTGCATCCAAGTTGGAGAGAATAAGCCATGGGGTTTACTTTGAAAACATTTTGGCTAAGAAACAGGGATGAAGTAATTACAGAAAGCACTGTATGAGCCATCATGTGACCGGTGGCACAGAATAATATAAATCACTAAGAAAAAAAAAACAAAACAAAACAAAAAAGCAAGGGCAATAAAAATTACATTAGGGGTGAAGGCAGGTGACGTCGGGGGTTTATATTTAGAAACGCTTAAAGGATGGAGTCGCTTTTGATGAACAGCAATGTCTGAGGAGTGGACCTTCTCGGTCACAGCAACAGCAGAACTGTGAGAATCAAAACACCAAAAGGCCATTTGCAAGGGGCACTGGCTGGCACTTTGTGGCAGAGTGTTTTAAATCTAGGTTGAGGTTGTTTCACAAGGTTTTTTAAATGCCAAGCTGGGAGAAACAGTTAAGGTACAAAGATATAGACAGCCAACGTGCTTTAGACATAGGACCAACGTGTGAGAGTGTCACCCTAAAAACAAAAAATGATGCAGGAGAAGTGAAGGAGAAAGATTGATTGTTATGCTTGACTGGCTAAAATATGACAAAAATCTAGTTTGGAATAAGAGCACTAGATCCAGGATTATGATAACAAGGACAGAAATGAAAAAATGCAGAGCAAGGTAGAGTTTGGGAATTGTTTTTTAATTAAAAATAAACAGTGAAAATATCATATTTAGATTAAGTGATTCTCCCCAGAGTATGTCACGGAGAAATGGCTGCCAGATCTATCTCATATCTTATCTCAAGGTATCTGTCCTAAATGATTTTTGCCTTCTCCAGGAGACTCTTGAAGTCACTGTTTTGGGAGGAATACCTCTGCCTTTGCCCTCTGAAGATGGCTCTGCTCCGGCCTGACAATGACTCAGGAAATAACCTCAGGGAAGTGCTTGACCTTGATGAGCCTGGTTTGCTCCTGAGTGCTGCAGGTAGTGCTGACTAGCAAACCAACATGGCGGCAAACATCCAAGAGTCTTGGAGCTTCTATATCAGTGTGGGATTGTTTGACAGAATGGAATGGTGGATGCCACCCCAGCAGAGCAGACAGCCAGAGCCACGTGACAAACAGCCAATGCAGAGGCCACCCCAAGCATGCTGCTCTAAGCACTGCGGTGCATCCCCTTGGCACCTCAGGTTTCTCTTTTGAACTAAGTTCACAGCTTTTAGTGTCTTGTACAGTTTTAGGCAGAATCTCCGATCTATATATTCCACAGCTCTCATTTTCTAGCAAAATGAGAACAAAACAATTTCCAGAGTGCACAGCCTTTGATGCGCGCGCGCACACACACACACACACACACACACACACACACACACACACACAAAATGTCCACTGGTGGTATTAGATTTGTGACAAATGACTGGCATTAGCATCATTACCATCATTATGAAAAAGAATAGTTTCAAATAAACAATTCGAAAAGGGACAGAAACTCATTTTTGCACATTCACCTCTCATTTTCAGGGCAAACATTAACACTCCAAATTTTCTAATGTTTCTTACAAGGCAAAGAGAAATAAAAATGCTTCTCTATTTTATCAATCCTAAATACATTTAATTCTAAATTTAAAATTTTATCAGTAAGGAAATTTGAGAAGCAGTAAAGGAACAGAAACTCACCTCCAAAAGTACACAGCAAATTTTTGGCAATGACAGATTAAAATTTAAACTGGGTTTCTGATACTTTCAGATTAAAAATGTATTAGTCAAAATCTATATTTAGCCTTTCCATAAACAAAACCAACACCAAGACCCCTCCTCCTCATACTAAACAGAGTCAACAGGGAGCCTTGCCTCTCTAAGTCTTACCAATGAGTGCAATGCCAGATTGAAAAAAAAATCCCCAAGGAAATTCTTAAGCATAACCCTGCAACTGAATTTGTGACTGGAATTCATATTACCTATGTGGCTTTGAAGAGCCCAAGCTAAAAACCTGAGCTTAAAGTGGTTGTGGCTTTATTCTTTGCCCCTACTTCTTCCACTGTGTATGTATGTATATACATGGATATATATACATGTTTATTTATATGTGTGCATATAATATATATATGTATATATATACATATATATATAATATATACATATATACACACACACATGTACGTTGAGGAATGAATGGACAGAGATAGAAATGGATGGATTGTGTACTGCTACTTTTGTCCTTAATTAGGCCTTGCCCTTCTACAATGGAAGGCGGCTTCCTTCCACACCCCCTAGAATAAGTGATTATGACTTCTTTAACTCATAGATTATGGTCAAGTGAGGAAGCAAAGCTGAGAACTGTAGGTGTAACCGAGATTTTTTTTTTTTTATTGCCATCTCTTACTTCTTAGTTCATGGCAATTAGCTGCCATGGAACAAGCGCAAACAACAGTTAGCGTGCCGTGAGAAGTTCAAGCACCATAGAAAGGCCCGGGAGGTAAGAGGCTGTGTGGTGAGGTGAGGTGGCATTGAGAGAGACATATATATCACACATGTGAATTGGTGCATGAGCATGCTGCATGGAGCAAAGGTGACAGAGAGAAGGCAGACAGCCCATGGAAAGGCAACATGCTAAAAGTGAGTTAAGTACACAAGTGAAGACGCAACCATGGACAATCGGCTCAGCTGAGATTTTAGACGCTGCCATCCAGTACTATTTAACGCCAGCTCCAAAGAGACCTCAGGTAAGAACTGCCCTGCAGAACCAGTGAACCCACAGAACAAGAGCTGCTAACGGTTTGTTTCTGTTGTTTTAAGCCACTGAGGTGTTTAATGGCTTATTAGTGGCAAAACGATGCTACAGAGAGAACAAGAAACAGCACTCTTGTCTGGGACAAATCTCAAAGGGAAGAAAAGCAGGGGGGGGCAGGAAAATCTATGAAGTGAGCAAATGCTGTCTGGGTCCTGGTTTAAACAAACAAACTATATGTTTAAAGTTTATTATGTTGGGCGGGTGAAATGCTTGTCATGCAAGAATGAGGACCTGAATCCAATACCCAGAGCCCACATGGACAAGGCATGGTGGCATGCACTTACCGTGTGCTTACAGCCTCAGCATTGTGGAGTACAGACATCTGATCGCTGAGGCCTGCTAACTAGTCAATCTCCCCGTGCTGGTTGACTTTTGGATAAGTAATAAATTCTGTCTCAAAAACAACGTGGGCACCGTGACACCTGAGGTTGTTCTCTGAGTATCCTTGCATGACTTGCATGAGTATCCTTACACATGGAAGGTACACCTTGAACATTTCTTTACGTGCTTCTTGGCCATTAGAAACCTCTGTTGAGAATTCTCTGTTTAGCTCTATACCCCACTTTTTAATTGTGTTATTTGGTTGGTTGGTGTTTAATTTCTTGAGTTCTTTATATATTTTAAATGTTAGCCGTCTGTTGGAGGTAGGGATATTAGCTATATAGAAAAGGACAACCATACTACAATTCACAGACCCAAAGAAGCTAAATAATAAGGAGGGCCCAAAAGAGGATGCTTAAATACCATTCAGAAGGGAAAATAGTATGGATGTTGAAAAGAGGGAACTGGATGAGAGAGTGTGTGGGGAGAGGAACAAGAATGGGGATAAGATGTGAGGAAATCAGGGGTGGGAGGCAAGAGGGATGAGAGAGAGAAGAGAAACTGAGGGGGGGCATCTTAAGACAAGCTGGAGACCTGTGACAGAACAGGTTTCTGGGAGGATATGGGGGGTGACTCCTAACTGCAGGCACATGGAGACTGAAGTCTTAGCCAGGCAGGACTTCCAGTGAAAGCAGGAGAACAGCAACCCACCCACATAATCTTTGATCCCAAATTACCCTGCCTATAGGGTGTCCAGGAGTAAAAATGGAACAGAGATTGACAGAATAGCCAACCAATGACTGACTCAACTTGAAATCCACTCAATAGGAGAAAGCCAACCCCTGACACTAATAATGATGCTCTGCTCTGCTTGCAGACAGGAGCCTACCATGACTTCCGTCTGGGAGGGTCCACCCAGCAGCAGATCAAAACAGATGCTGAGACCTACAGCCAAATATTAGGCAGAACTCTGTGAGTCTGCTGGAGGAGTCGGAGCAAGGAGAGAAGGTCCTGGAGAGGACAGGAATTCCACAAGAATATCAACAGAGTCAACTAACCTAAGCCCATGGGGGCTCACAGACACTGAAGCACCAACCAACGAGCTTGCATGGCCTGGACCTAGGCCCACAACACATACATAACTGATGGGCTGCTTTGTCTTTATGTTGGTTCCCTAGCAAGTGGAGAAGGGGTCTTATCTAACATGGACTATGTTGCCTATTTTGGGATCACTTTCCCTTAGCTGGGCTGCCTTGTCTGGCTTCAGTGGAAGAGGATGAACTAACTGTTTGCTCATAGAACTAATAGGTTAGCATTTGAGACTCAGAGCTGCACACTGTAAAGCCTTACCAACAAAAGCCTAAAAAAAAATGGGCTGCAGGTCTGTTGTGGGAGTAAGGCATAAACACATTAGCAGTTAAACAACAGTCTTCAACCTGAAACTGTGTCGTTTTATCTGATCTTGGTGTGTATTAAATACACAATCATTGTCATGTAAGTTTTAATCATTCCCTTATGATAATTGAAAACTGGTGCCTTATTTTGTACCTGTGACTACCTCATGTTTTTGTTCTGGAAAATTCTTTCTGACTCTCAGCATTCATTGAGAGTATACGCCGGGAATCCTCAAGCTCCCGTAATTTTCCCTGTCTTGAAACACAAGCCAGTGTTCTTTCTACACTTCCACATCACTGAAAATGCCAGGAAACCACTGCCTCCCATATCACTATTTCCCTTAGGATTTAGGCAACTGTCTGGGAAGTTTCCTCTTGACCACCCTTGGTGTGAACAACCACACAGAGGTTTTCCACATGTTGGACGCCCTACCCAGCACACTTCAGGAATGATACGTACTGCACATGGGCCATCACTGCCTGCCTTCCCCCCAAACTTTCAAGACTGAAGCACCTTTTTAATGAAAACATTGACTTTTGTCTTAGTTTTACGAGTTATGAGATTTACTTCTTTCTCACCATAATACGCAGTTCTGACTGGATGGTTTATTGTCTAAAATACTCATCTGCCTAGTACGTTTCAACAGTCAAAGGCTTTGCTTTCCCTGGATCTTTCCCATATGCTATTTCCTGGCTAAATTCATTCTAGGTGATATATTTTCCTGTTTCTGGGTGTGACTCTAATACATTTTCATGCTTCTCTTATTTGGTGATTGTGAACAGATGATTAATATATAATATGAAGTGCTTAGAAAATGACCTGATTCGTGGTAAGTAACCATTACATTTTAGTCCTTTTTACTGTTATTATTCATCTCCCATCCCCTACGTGGTATTTTTAAAAATCGTTTGTTTCTTAAGTGACCTAAAATGTCATTAGATATAGAAAAGCTTTATATAATTTATTAACAATTTAGGCAGGCTCTTGAAAGAAACGCTATACCACTAAACCATTTTCTTTAGGTTCATGACAATGCCACTCAGCCAATGTTTGCAAACCTCAAAATATAAACACTGAAACTCTTTTCCATACCTTATGATATGTAATATCCGGAGAAAGATATTTTAAGTAAGGGGGTGTGTGAATACTGACTAATAACTTCTAAGTGGATCTCTGAACAATCTTTAATAATAAATCTTTACTCATTCCCAGGACTAAGAATCAATATGACTAAAGAGTTAGAAATGGCAATTAGTCTGACCCAATCCAGCCTTCATGTACTCCACACACAACTTTCAAACTGTCACAGTAACCCTATAAACAGGTGCAATTCATTTTTGTGTACAGTAGCAAGAATGGAACTCAGGGCCTTGCGATGTAGGTAGCACTCTGTCACCTAACTACACACCTCCCAGCTCCTAAAAACTTTCTGGAAAGCAAAAAAACAAACAAACAAACAAACAAAACAAAAACAAAAACAAAAAAAATCATAAAACTGTTTATTTAACAGAGAGAAGGTGCTTTAATTAAATCTTTGATTACAGGTTTTTGATAGACAATGGTTGCCATATTTAAATCAGAAATAGAGAGACTAAGTCTGTACCCATTCCTCCATAGTGACAGAAGTACAAGTTGAAACGTTTTCCTCGTGTTTAAGTGAGTGCAACCTGAGATGTTACACCGAGGACCTTACGATGATCTTTCTACGGCTTTACATTATAGTATGTAACTCTCAGTAAAGCTCACTTGTTTTTGAAGATACTACCAAGAACTGAGGAGACTGTAACAGGCAATGGCAAGCACTTTGGGGCACTTACCTTGAGCTTATGTTCTTTCCTGTTCACAATCACAGCCGTGATTTGCTGGTCCATAAAAATCAGAATGGTGACTAACAAGGCCGGGATAGCAGCGGCAAGGTACACCCACCAAGGGTTTCCTCCAAACGGTGGGACAAACCAGCCTCGGTTAGGACTTGTTGGCTTAAAGCAAAGAGATAAGGGGCTTCACAATACTGGTAATACATGCTACATGGTTTTTAACAATTCAAGTTTTGGAGGGTCAACATATTAAAAATAGAAACAATTATAGTAATCATTAAGGAAAGGAGATGAAAATATGGGATATTGAAAAAGATTATTTGAGATAATGCATTTAATAAAAAAAAAAAACGGAAAAAAATAACATTAAGGGACATAGAAGTAAATCCCAAATGAAATATTCCAAGAAGAGATAGCAAAACCTTACAAAGCCTCCATGGATTTTGTTTGAATTTTAACAGGCAACAGAAGTTGTTTCTGTTCCTGCCAAATAAATGGCTTCTTAACACATAAAATACTATTTTACATGGTATAATTGAACTAAGGGAAATATTCATATCTCTTGTTTCACATGGGAAAATTATCCAGATGTGAGTAAATCTACAGAACTATATCAGAAAATGAGAAAAAGCTGTCATTTTTCAACTTTCAGCAGAACATACATGTGTGTTACAGAATGAGAATATTACATGCTCAAGTACACAATAAGACATTTGCTCAACCATTTTTGTAGCAGCTTTATTTGTAATAGCCAGAAGCTGGAAACAACCCAGATGTCCCTCAGTTGAGGAATGGATACAGAAATTGTGGTATATTTACACAATGGAATACTACTCAGCAATTAAAAACAAGAAAATTTGCAGGCAAATTGTGGCATCTAGAAAAGATCATCCTGAGTGAGGTATCCCAGAAACAGAAAGACACACAGGGTATATACTTACTTATAAGTGGATATTAGACATATAATGTAGGATAATCATATTAAAATACATCTAAAGAAGCTAAGCAAGAAGGAGGACCCTGGGTAAGATGCTCAATCTTCATTCAGAAAGGCAAATGGGATAGACCTTGGAAGATGGAGAAAACAGGGAACAGGACAGGAGCCTACCACAGAGGGCCTCTGAAAGACTCTACCCAGCAGGGTATTAAAGCAGATGCTGAGACTCATAGCCAAACTTTGGGCAGAATGCAGAGAATCTCATGAAAGAAGGGGGACATAGAAAGATCTGGAGGGTACAGGAGTTCCATAAGGAGAGCAACAGAACCAAAAAAAAAATTGAGCCCATGGATCTTTTCTGAGATTCATACTCCAACCAAGGACCATGCACCATGCATGGAGATAACCTAGAACTCCTACTCAGATGTAGCCCATGGCAGCTCAGTGTCCAAGTAGGTTCCCTAGTAAGGGGAATAGTGGCTGTCTCTGACATGGGCTCAGTGGCTGGCTGTTTGATCACCTCCATCTGAGGGGGAGGCAGCCTTACCAGGCCACAGAGGAAGACAATGAAGACAGTCCTGATGAAACCTGATAGACTAGGGTCAGATGGAAGGGGAGGAGGACCTCCCCTATCAGTGGACTGTGGAAGAAGCATGGGAAGAGAAGAGGGAAGAAGGGCAAGATTGGGAGGGGATCAAGGAGAGGGCTACAGCTGGGATACAAAGTGAATAAATTATAATAAATAAATTTTTTTTAAAAAGATTGCTTCTCCATGCAGATAAAGAAGAAATTTAAAACAACAGGAAAAACAAATAAATGTAACTATAACATTACTTATGAGTTTGTTCCTTCTTTTGTTTTTCAAGACGGGGTCTTCTTCTATAGCCTAGGCTAGCTTGAAATTCCCAATATAACCCAGATTGGCCTTGAACTTGTAGAGGTCCTCCTGTCTCAGTCTCCTGAGGGCTGGGCTGGTAGGCAGAAGCCACAAACCCTGGATGCATGTTTCTTCTCAGTTTGCTCAAAAATCCATCATGGAACAAACTCCATCTTCACATTCCCTGTACCACACATTGTGAGCTTGTAAGGCAAGACATCTCATCTTGCTGATTAAAGCATTTCAACCCCCTCTCCCTGGAGAGGATGAAGTCTGGCTCCAAGAAAACATTTAGAAAATACTGACCCAAATGCATTAGTGGTCGAATCAACAAAAATTTATCTTCGCTAATGAAAGTGATATTATGCCAAAGATAGTCTTTACTGTCATATATGTGAATGTGTGCATGCATAGCTCTTCCTCATTAACTAGTTTTATGAAATTGCAATCAGCTTAATAGCGTTTGACATTATTATTTCAGTAGCAGAGAAAACAGTATTTTTCTAGAAAACTGCTTAAAGTTTTGCAATGAAAACTACATAGATCTATAACTATGATTGACTGACATGTAAGTTTTATATCTTATACCTACATATACCATACATCCAGAAAATACATAATTTTTTTGTCTTCTTTGGAACAATTAAACTTCATAAATGCTCCTGGCAGGTAATTTGGTAGGAAGAAAAGAACACTAAGTTAGAACGTGAAGGCTTGAATTCTAACTTCACTGCCTGCCACCACTAGTTTAGAAGGACGGGGCATGTTGCCTAAGTTTTGAGAGCATTAGTGGGTTAACAAACATAATGCTAGTTATGTGTAGACTTGTAGGAACTGCTCTATGAACCAGGCTGATTCGGTCTATAACACTGTCTGAAATATTCTAAAATATATAAGGCAGAGTTAGTCGATGATATATGCTATTTGAAAATAAAAGTCAATAAAGCACAAACCCTAAATTTAATCCTACCTGTGGTGTTTCATTTTAATGAAGAAATTAGACTAACTATAAATGAGCCTAATAGGAGATTGCTTTGAGGGGAAAATGGGTAGTTATGCAAAACAAACTGAAGATTCACAATAAAGGAAAAGAACTAAAGCCAATGAGCTTGAGGAGCAATCAAAAGAGATATTCACTCACCTTGAACTCACTTGGCACAATTAGTTTTGGGGTGTCCACACCTACTAGAGCATCTATTACACAGAATATGAGAATAGACAATATAATGGCAAAATCACTGATCAGTTTTCTTGCCTGAAAAAAAAAAAAAAAGAAGTGTTTAGTAACAGATATAGGCCTGTGCTTATTTTCGATATAAAAAAGAATTTTATATTTAGTCTAACAATTTATCAACAAATTATCCTCTGGCCAGACATAGGAGAGGTCACTTAAACAGGGTATATCCTTTGTCCTATGAGCAGCACAAAAGGCATTTGGGTAAGAATAAAATCTAAGCACACATTATACTATGAAATAGAACTTAATTTTTCCTGGAAAGCAGTGCTGTAAGTAATAAATAAAACAGCAGTGTCTACTTAAGTGTTAACCTGACACCCATTAATGACACCCATTAAATTGACACTTTGATCAGCATGTAAAAAAAAAAAAGAAAAAAAAAACCAGCAGTGTCTTAGTCACTGTTCACCTGCCATTAAGAGACACCATGATGAAGGGTTCCAGGATACACAACTCCAATTTCAGGCCTCCTAATACCTGGGAGCCATGGAACAGCCCTAGATGCCAATCCAAAGCTCAACCCATCGTTCTAGGAAGATAACCCAAACCCATATAGGCTCCCTGGTTCTCCAAGATGGCTGTGCCCAGCAAACACAGTGTTTGAGTATAGTGTTTGGGCAGCTGCAGCTCATTAACCTCAGAGCAAGAAAGCCAGTGGTGGAGACAGATGTCTCCAGCACTTCCCCTGGTGAGAGAAGAACCCCTAGGCTCCTAAGGAGTCCAGTTAGTCCACAGTATCATACATCTTGAGGAGAGATGAAGCAATTCCCTGGAATCACCTGCCAGTCAGAGACCATATCCACCAATCTGAAGAGGGATTTTATGGGAATATCCAGCGTCCTGCCCAGGGCTCTTCCATACCCCCCCCAAAAAAAAGAAACCAGTGGGCATCTGAAACTAGCCAATGCCAGAGACAATCACGTGGCTAAAGGCCAGTCTAAAAACACAATCAACAAAAGTCAAAGCAATATGGCATCTCCAGAACCCAGTTATCCCAAGGCAAACAACCTTGGATATTCTAGTACAATTAAAATACAAGAAAGTAGCCTTAAGTATACACTTACATAGATGATGAACAGAACAAATAAAATGCATAAAGAAATACAGAAAGATGCAGTCAAACAGACTGAGGCCATTAGAGAAGCCTGTAGAGAGAAAATTAATAAATCACTCAAAGAAATACAGGAAAACACAAACAGGTGGAAAGAAATCAATAAAACAGTTCAAGATCTGAAGATGTAAATGGAAACAATTTTTAAAAAAGCACAAACTTCGACAATCATGGAAAGAGAGAAATTAGAGAAGAAAACAGGAACTACAGAGGTAAGCATCTCCAACAAAATACAAGAGATGGAGGAAAGAATTGCAGGTGTGGAATATACAACAGAAGAAACAGATGCATTCATCAAAGAAAATGTTAAATATAAAAAATTCCTGACACAAAACATCTAAGAAATAAAGGACAGCATGAAAAGACAAAACCTAAGTATAATAGAAATAGAGGAAAAAGAAGATTCCTATCTCCAAGGCCCAGAATATATTTTCAACAAAATCATTGAAGAAAATTATCCCAACTTAAAGAGATGCTTATAAGCATACAAGATGCCTACAGAACACCTAAAAATTAGACCAGAAAAGAAAATCCTCAAGCCACAAAATAGTCAAAACACTAAAAGTACAGAACAAAGAAAAAATATTAAAATCTACAAGGGAAAAAGGCCAAGTAACATATATTGGTAAACTTACCAGAATCACACATGACTTCTCAACAGAGACTAGCACAACAGAAGGGTCTGGACAGATGTCATGCAGACCCTAAAATAGCATAGATGTCAGCTGAGACTACTAATACCCAGCAAACCCTCAATCAACATAGATGGAGAAAACAAAATATTCCATGACAAAAAAAATTTAAACAGCACCTAGCCACAAATCAAGCTGTACAGAAGATACAAGAAGGAAAAATCCAACCCAAGAAGGCTAACTACATCTAGGAAAACACAGGAAATAAATAATTTCACTACAGCAAAACTAAAAGTAGACAAGCACACAAATGCACTACCACAACCAACATCAAAATAAAAGGTACTAACAGTCACTGGTCATTAATCTCTCTCAACATCAGTGGAACCAACTCTTCAATAAAATTACACAGACTAATAGAATGGATGCATAAACTGGACCCAACATTCTGCTGCATACAAGAAACACACCTCAGCAACAAAGGTAGATATTACCTGAAAGTAAAGGGCTGACAAAAGGTTTTCCAAGCAAATGGAGCCAAGAAGCAACCTGGAGTAGCCATTCTATCATCGAATAAAATAGACTTTCAACCAGAATTAACTCAAGAGATGAGAAAGGACACTTCATACTCATCAAAGGAAAATTACAACAAAATGACATCTCAATTCTGAATATCTATGCCCCAAATACAAGGGTACTTACATTTGTAAAAGAAACATTAATAAAGCTTAAACTATACATAGATTCCCACATATTAATAGTGGGAGACTTCAACACCCCAGTCTCATCAAAGGACAGGTCAATGAAACAGAAGCTAAACTGAGAAATAATGACACTAACAAATGTCATGAATCAAATGGACCTAACAGACATCTACAGAACTTTTCACCCAAGCACATAACAGTATACCTCCTTCTCAGCACCTCACAAAACTGTCTCTAAAATTGACCATATTACAAAGCAAGCCTCAACAGATACAAGAAGATTGGAATAATACAGGTATCCTATCAAACCACAATGGACTAAAGCTGGACCTCAACAACAACAGAAATAACAAAAAGCCTACACACACAGGGAAACTGAACAACTCCCTTTTCAATGACAACAGGGTCAGAGAAGAAAAAAGAAATGAAGGACCTCCTAAATTTTAATGAAAATGAAGGCACAACATACCCAGATTTATAGGACAATGAAAGCAGTGCTAAGAGGAAAGTTTATAGCACTAAGTGCCTTCATAAAGAGATTGGAGACATCCCATACAAGCAACTTAATAGCACATCTGAAAGCCTTAGAAAAAAAGAAGCAGACACACCCAAGAGGAGTAGATGGCCAAAAATAATCAAACTCATGGCTGAAATCAATAAATTAGAAACCAAGAGAACAATCCAAATAATCAATGAAACTAAGAGTTGATTCTTTGAAAAAAATCAACAAGACAAACAAACCTTGGCCGAATTAACTAAACGGCAGAGAGACACTATCCAATTCAACAACATCAGAAATGAAAAAGGGGACATAATGACAAACACTAAGGAAATCCAAAGAATCATTAGGTCTTAGGTCAAAAGTCTATATGCCACAAAATTTGAAAATCTAAATGAAATGGACAATTTTCTTGATAGATTCCACTTACCTAAGTTGAATCAAGATCAGGTAAACAAATTAAATAGTTCTCCCAACCAAAAAAAAAAAAAAAAAAAAAAAAAAAAAAAAAAAAAGCCCAGATGGGTTCACTACAGAAATCTACCAGACCTTCAAAGAATTGCTAATAACAATAGTTTTCAAACTATTCCACAAAATAGAAATGAAAGCAACATTACCAAACTCATTCTATGGGGCTACAATCACCTTGATATCCAAACCACACAAAGACCCAACAAAGAAAGGGAATTTCAGACCAATTTCTCTTATGAACACTGTCACAAAAAAATTCAATAAAATACTTGCAAACTGAATCCAAGAACATATCAAAGGTATTATCCACCATGACCCACCCAGGCACCCCTGGAGTGATTCAATATATAAAAACACATGAAAGTAATCACCATATAAACAAACTGAAAGGGAAAAAAACCCCACATGATCATCTCTTTAGATGCTGAAAAAGCATTTGATAAAATCCAACAGTCATTCATGTTTCAAGTCTTAGAGAGATCAGGGGTACAAGGCACACACCTAAACATAGGGACAAGGCAAGGCTGCCCACTCTTTCTGTAGTTTTCTTTATTTTTTAAATTTTTTATTATTATCATTTATTACAATTTATTCAATTCATATCCCGGCTACGGCCCCCTCCCTCATCTCCTCCCAATCCCACCCTCACTCCTTCTTCTCCCCCTGTTCCCCTCCTCTAGTCCACTGATAGAGGAAGTCTTCCTACCCTTTTATTTGACCGTAGCATATCAGGTCTCATCAGAACTGTCTGCATTGTCTTCCTCTGTGGCCTGGCAGAACTGCACCCCCAGCCCCAGGGGGATTTGATGAGAGAGTCTGTCACTGAGTTCATGCCAGAGAAAGTCCCATCTTACATGTATGAGAATGGCCAGGATTAAAAACTCAAGTGACAGCATATGTTAGCAAGGATGTAGAGAAAGGGAAACATTCCTCCATTGCTGGTAGGAGTGCAAACTTGTATACCACTTTTGAAATTAATCTGGTGCTTTCTCAGACAATTGGGAATAGTGCTACCTCAAGCCCCAGCTATACCACTTCTGGGCATATACCCAAAAGATGCTCAACTATACAACAAGGACATTTGCTCAACTATGTTCATGACAGCTTTATTGATAATAGCAATAATCTGGAAACAACCTAGATGTCTCTCAACTGAAGAACGAATACAGATATTGAGGTACATCTACACAATAGAATACTACTCAGCTATCAAAAACAAAGAATCATGAAATTTGCAGACAAATGGATGGAACCAATAAAAGATCATTCTGAGTTGAGGCAACCCAGAGCCAGAAAGATACACATGGCATATACTCACTTATAAGTAGATATTAGCCATATAATACAGGATAACCATATTACAATCCACAGACCTAAAGAAGCTAAATAACAAGGAGGATCCTGGAGAGGGTGCTGAGCTTATCTGGGGGGGGGGGGGAGACACAACAGTGTGTCACTGGGTTGTTCATTAAGAGCTATCCAGTTCCTAACATTCTGCTTTGTGATAAGAACACCTTAGTGAGTAAAACAGATATAATCCATGACTTCAAGAAGCCCCAAGCCATGTTATATCGAACAAAGCTGGCTCCTATGTGAAATTA